GCTTGAGCTCCTGCTGAAAATGCCAGACCAGGGTAAGATTAACTGCGTGATGAGTGAAATATAGATTATGTAAGGGATAATGTTGCATCAGGGTTTACCGGCTTATCCTGCTTATTAAATAGATTAAAAAGTCTTTCACTGCCATTTTTACTAGATTCTAAAACTAGCCATTTTTGTAGTATAAAACTAAATATAACTGATGGGGTATAACTTTGTCAAGATCACAAGAAAATTAAATCATTATAACGAGAAAACAACTTTCGTTATGTTGAGATCATGAGGAAAATTAAGTTGTTCACAAGAAAACGTTTATGTCGAGATCACGAGAAAATTAAGTTGTAATGAGAAAACAACTTTCGTTATGTTGTATGTGAAATATACAATTTTGTGGTTGCAATACAAAAGTGATGCAATTGACTAATCAGAATCAATTATTTCCTTATTTTACACTTGTACAGTTCATAATTGTGACTTTTGGTACAATGATCTAAAATGTTTTATTTTGCTTTCAGCTCGGGAGTTTGACACCAAAAAAGTGATGGAAAACGGCTCGAATTACTTTCAGAGCCTCCTGCAGATTCTCGGGGTGGAAGCGTCAATCGAGGGCTTGATAAGAACCGTATGTTTGTAAGAAGTCATAAAACAAGCCAACGTTCACGCCGTGGGAACTTCATATCTAATCTTTTTATTCGATATAAACACCTGTACAATCACCTGTTAGGAACTACATAGTGATGCCACCTGTACATGTCAATCATTTTTACGCATGATATGCCCACACTGTATGGAAATATACAATATTAGACAAGAGCTAGAAAAATAAATAATTTTAAATACAAAATGTTTGACAGCAAAATCCACTTTGTATTTTCAAATAGTTAAATTTTAACATTAGATTCCATCACAGTAACTGTGATCTTCCTTTCTTTTCTTGCTTAATAACAGAATTAATGTCCATTCCTACCTACATAGTGATTATAAATCTTTATTTCATTAGAATAACACAGTGTCACCACCTAAGACTCATAATATCTCTCTCGTCTGGCTCGTCTGGTTCAACAGGGGAAAGATGTTGTTAAAACAAAGGCAAATACAGTAATGAAACTGCACTTTTCAATCAGTTACATCATAACATGACCATCCAACAAACGCCATCGGTTGGACAACGAAGGCGTTTTCACTCACAGGTAAGGCGTATTAATACTTCTCTTGACACCAGTTCACATTAAGACAAAGGGGAGTGTGAACAGTTTGGCAATGTTGAATGTTCATCCATGTAAAACTCAAAACACTATTCGCCTGATGAGAACTGCATAGACGACTTTGAGAAAGGCAAGCCGATGCAGTTTGCATCACGCTAAAGGAGGTAAACAGGAGCATGAGCATCTCTCATGCCACAGTATATTGTAACAGTAATATTCCCCATGACAGAGAAAGGCGACCGTGAGGTGCCATCTTTAGTGTTAAAGTTGCACCATAATATCTGTGCGAACCGTCTCACTGTGGTTGTTTTTTGGGTCAAAGGCGCCAAACTTGCAACTCGTGTTAAATCAACACTACCATTTCTGTGGCCTATACTGCTTCTCTGGGAAAAAAAAAAAAAACTTTTCCACTGTTGGAAAAACCTGCTAGATCATCTTTTTTTATTGTGCTAACGAAAACTGGCGTGCTGTCCATCTTTGGTCGACTTATGAAATATGTCTGGCTCTGCAACCAATTATGGCCATTAAAACTCAATCCAAATGCAACCATAGTAGCGTTCACGTGGCTGGGGATGGATTCCTCTGGTTGTTTTCTGCTCTACGATATCAAAACAGACAACAATTAAGCGTATTAGTGTCAAACTCAGAGACAAAGCAATTGTTGATGGACAGACAGCTGATTTTTGCATTTTACAGCAGTTTTTCTGGGAAAAACTAATGTTTGATGTTTGAGATGATGGACTAGCTAGTTCAACCAAAAGTTGCACACCAACATGTCTGTATACTGATGTTTTTCCACATTTTTCAAGAATCGTTACGCAACTTTTGCCATACAGTTTGTATGTGACCAAATATCGTCAAGCTCTAAAGCAACAAATGTAGTTCATATGACTTGTGCAAATTTTACTCAAAACCAAGTCGTTATTCACCGGTGATTGTTCTAAAATGTTGCATTCCTTCACAATTCTGACAAAATACCTGGCCAGAATGACGAGCTGCATAACGATTCTATCAGACGGGTTTGCGATGACATGAGGGTTAGTAAACAATGGGCAATTTTTTTTTATTGAACTACTCGTTAACAAGACACTTCGGTAAACTGTTACGCTAGCCAAGCGTATGTTACAAAAATACACTTTCATTAGCGAGTAATGTCATTAGACTTATCCTCTAATTTATAAAATCTATCTTACGGGTAGTGACGGTGTTAGCGCGACCTCATTCGCTGGCATGCAACAGGTCTGTGCTTGTCAGTATAACTCCCGCTACTGTAGCTAGCCGAGGGTCAGTGGTTTGAAGAGCTCTAGGGATGTAGTCGCGCTAAAAACTCAAGTACTTGTCTGTTTTTGAATTCCAAACTGCCTGTACAGCGACTGCAGACACGGCCAAGCTGATGCACGGTAAAATAGGGAAAAATCGCTTTTGGCACTTGGAAACCACAGTAGCGATGCTGCGTGTGAGAAAAACCCAGCACTGCACAAAAACACACACAGCCTCCTTGTCCTCCCTTTTTACAGCCAATGACTGACTCATTCAGGTATTCTGTGCTTTAGGAGACCAGCCCCAATGAGAACATCACCCTCGAAAAGAAAAACATCAGGTCACTCCGGCAACAACTGCGAACGCCGCCGTCCCTGCCAACTTCACGGTGGGAGGGCAAACAACTAGACAGACTAGCAAACAAAAAGAACAAAACTGTTTCACTACTTCAACTGCACTTCTGGGTATTTCCCAAGCAGCACTTGTGGAGGTGTCTCATACAGCATGGAAGAGCAGCGTGCACTCCTGCCTTTCCTTATATAGGCTGGAGGGAGGCGGAGCTTGCATGCTCCGCAGGTAGTAGTTGACGATTTTGGTGTCCAGCTTGTACTGGTGAGGGATGCCTTCATATGGTTTGGGGTCCAGATCCAGGATGGAGATGGAATACGTGAAACGAGTTTTCTCCAAATTCAACTGGTGTCTGAAAACAAAGCAAACAGAATGTAAAATGATTGTAAATGTCGAGGCAGATCAGTCAGCAGGTGATTTTAAAGAGCAAACGCAAACCTACTCCTCGTCTTCCTCACAAGGAGCAAACGTGATCATGATTGAGCAGTCTTTGGCGGTCATTGCAACTCTATACTGATGAACCTGGAAAGTGACAAAATGAAATCAGAAATGAAAATCTGAGAGTTAACTCTTGCTAAATATTATTTATAATACTATTATTTTATGTATTATAATATTAAAAAACAATATAATAAATATTTAATATCCTATTATGCTTTTTAACTTTTTTAATTTTAGTCAGTGTGTAGTGTGTATGTTTGGGCATAAAAAAGATCTAGAAAGTTACAAATCTCAAAGTCCACTGTAAAGGGAGATATTTCGTTTTAAAAAAATCCCTTTTCAAGAACTACAACGAATGGCTCGTTTGGACTACAGCGTTTGTTTTCCAGGCTTTGTGATGTACAAAGCGGCTCATTGGAATATCATTACAAATAATTCCCGCCTATGGAGATTCGAATGGTTGGGGGTGGGAAGGGGGGAGGTTGTGGTTAGAACCTGCTATTGTGTGCTGCGCATTTTACTGAGGGCAGCTTCCACAACACTAGGGAGTACAGTGCCGGATTCGCCCAAAAGTTTTTGTTGAAAGAAAGGAGCAAGGGGCGTGGCAGTAATGAAACACCGTCTAAGCTGTTCGCCAATCACAACGCACTGGGACAGCTAACCAATCACAACACATTTTGTTTTTCGG